GCGGCCGAACTACAGCAAAAACTTTCCAGCAGACGCTAGTCTAACAACACACGATACGGTTGAGATCCAGAGCGATGAGAACCATACGTTCTTGTTCATGCCATCTCTACGCCCTGGACTCACAGACTACTGCGCCCGGTTGCTGCAAGGGGACTCCTGGCTTTATAGGGTCTGCTCTTGCAGCAACAAGCATGGGGACTACAGGTCGAAGAAGGGGAATGCATCACCAATCTGCAATCAGTGGGAGTGGTCACTGGCAACGTGCCGATGCACTCAATGCTGCAGATCACCCTGCGTCAGACGGGAGCCCGAGCCGCGCCAGCCACTCGTCGAGCCACCAGGCGGCCTCCAGATGGCACGGCGAACAAAAAGGATATACACAACGTCCGACACAATGGCAAGGTCCCGGGATCGCAAAACAACAGCAACATCTGCTCTTTTTCACCTCCACTGCTAAGCATTGCTCTCGACCCTCGATGATCTTGGGAAAGCAATGTCGGGACGTGTTCAAAATGTGTCTGGCCCTGTCTGAGTCTCTGGAAGCCTCCGGAGATTTCCAGGGGTCTGGATCTGGGGGGGAGCAAGCATACCATCTCCTCCACAACGTCCTGCACACTTTCATCATCGTCGGCATCCTCCTCGTCCTCCTTGTCCTCTTCCACCGCCTCCAATGCCATATCCCCCGCCTCCACCTCATCCCCCTGCTGACCGAATACCTCTCACCTTTTTCCCTTCCATTTCTCTCAAACGATTCGCCATCTCACTACGTCTTATTCACACGATGTCCTCGTTCTTCCCTCAATCCGCTCCTTCACGTTCGCGCCCCCCATCTTCCCTCCCCATTGATGAAGCAAGGACACCATGGGCATACCCACATGTAGGACTGTCTGGGAGCATACAAGTCAAGTGACACAGCACCAGATCGAGGACGGGCTCTCCAAAACCAGCAACCACCATCTGAGGATATCGAGTTGGCTCAGCAACATCTCTCAGCCTCAAGTGAACGCCACTGCGACCTACACCCGCCTGCGAATCCTCATCTCTTACTGCCGACGCCTCAGAGCCCCGACTGTGCCGCACGCGCAAATCCACAACCTCGCTCGCGCGACAGCGCCGTGGCACAATCCTTGTCGGTTGTGGGGCAGGGCTCGTGTTGGCTGTCTGAAGGCAGCCGCTCCCCCCATGCAGACGGCATCTGCGCTGGGAACCCTCACACTGAAACACATCCCGTGGCCACCTCTGCCCTGCCTGGGGTTGCCCCGTGACTTGTGCTGCTGCCCCGGGCCCCAGGCCCCGCGGGTTCAATGAATTACCGTGGGAGGCACAGCCGGACCTGGGACAATGACACGCTCTTCGAGAACATGAGATCCTCCGCCCGCCCGAACTGAAGAACATTCGAGGGTGCCCCCCCCCCAGGAATAGCATTAGGGTGTCCTCCCTGAGCCGACCTCGATCTTATACCTCGGTCCGACCGTACCAGAAGGCAGGCGGGTTCCTGAGCACATGAGCATACGGTGCCCGCCACCGTCGCCCGAACACCTGCCCCTCCCCTGAACTGCTCCCCTGGCGCCGTCCTCGTTCTCTGTACGGCTCCGAGACGGCCACTTGCTATCGCTCGGACGTCCATTCCCCGTTGAATGTTCTAGCTTCGTGCGCTTATTTGTCGCAAGATGACGCGGGATGCTCCTCGATTGTCCTCGCCGGAAAAAAAAACGCACACGTCCGAGCGATCCCCAGGCCATGGGCCGCCCCACCTAACGGGTTCCTGCTTTCAGCAGCTAGCGTGCGCTCGCTGGCAGCCACGCTCGCTGTATGGCACGCCTGTGGCGTGCCAGCAGCGACGCACGTGGCAACGGATGCCTCCGACGTCGGACACGGATTGCTGTTGCTTCGGCCGCTGGAGCCGTCGCCGCGGCCAGTGTGGCAATCACACGTCTCGCCCATCGCTCGGACATCCGCTCCCCGTCTCCGTTCTGGCTCCGCGCGTGCCATTTTTGGTTCCCTCGGGGAGCCTGGCTGCTCCTCGATGGCCCTCGCAGAGAAAGAAAACAAACAAACAAAAAAACGTGCACACGCTCGAGAGCGAGGCCGAGGTGTGTGCGTGCACGCTGCCAAGAGCGCGCTCGTGCTCCTGCGCCCGGGGTTCTCTCCCGGTGGCCCACGCACACACAAAAACACCGAGCATCCGCGGCTGCTCGCAGCACGGGGGTGGGGGGGGACCTGGCCCTTCGGACTCTGGGGGGGTCCAGGATCCGCTCTTGCCCTGTCCTGGGGGGACGAAGAATGACAGAAACATGCAAACTCGGAGGTCTGCGCGGACTTCTCGGAGGCGCGCTCCGCGCGCCAGGGAGGGGGGTCCAGCGCGGATCCGAGAAATCCGCGCGGACCTCCGAGTTGTTTCGTTTATGCCATGCTTCGCTCCCCTACGTCCTGACTCAAGCGATACGGGGCGCACAACGATTCCTCCTCCTCTACCTCCTCCCCCTCATCCTCCTCCTCATCTTCGAGCACTGCGGACTTGGGGATCCAGGATCCGCTCTTGCCCTGTCCTAGGGGAACAAAGAACGATCTGAACATACCAACTCGGAGGTCCGTGCGGACTTCTTGGATCGGCGCTGGGGACCCCTGGCGGCGCCTCCGGCGCCTCCGCGCGCCAGGGAGGGGAGTCCAGCGCGGATCCCAGAAGTCCGCGCGGACCTCCGAGTGTTTATGTTTATGCCATGTTTCGTTTCCCTATGTCCTGGCTCTGCGATGAAGAGTCGGGGATGTTCAAAGGACTCAAGCGATACGGGGCGCATAGATTCCTCCTCAACCTTTCCCTCCTCCTCCTCCTCTTCCTCCTTCTCCTCCTCCTCCTCTTCCTCCTCTTCCTCCTCCTCCTCCTCCTTTTTCCTCCCTCCTCCTCCCTCCTCCTCCTCCTCCTCCTCCTCCTCCTCCCCCTCTTCCTCCTTCTCCTCTCCTCCTCCTGCTCCTCCTCTCCTCCCCCTCCTCCTGCACCTCCCCCTCCTCTTCTTCCTCCTCCTCATCCTCCTCCTCCTCTTCCTCATCCTCCCCTCCTCCTCCTCCTCCTTCTCCTCCTCCTCCTCCTCCTCCTCCTCCTCCCCTCTTCCTCCTTCTCCTCCTCCTCCTCCTCCTCCTCTCCTCCTCCTCCCCTCCTCCTTCCTCCTCTCCTCCTCCTCCTCCTCCTCCTCCTCCTCCTCCTCCTCCCCTCCTCTCCCCCCTCCTCCTCCTCCCCTCCTCCTCCTACTCCTCCTCCCTTCTCCCTCCTCACCCTCCCCTCCTCCTCCTCCTCCTCCTCTCCTCCTCCTCCTCCTCCTCCTCCCTCCTCCTCCTCCCGGTTCTCCTCCTCCTCCCCCTCCCCCTCCTCCTCCTCCTCCTCCTCCTCCTCCTCCTCCTCCTCCTCCTCCTCGAGATCCTCCTCGAGACCCTCCCCGAGATCCTCCTCGAGATCATCCTGCCCCCATGCGGGGGCGGGCCGCCTCCACGGTCCCGTGGAAAATTCTCTGGCTCTCGGGCAGCCGAGCTGTCCTCCCCCCCGCGTGCCGTGCGATGCCCATCGTGCCGCCAGGGACCCGAGACCCGACCGATCAGTCCCTCCTGCCCCCTGCCCCCTGCCCCCTCCCCCCTCCCTCCCTCCCTTGCCCCCTGCCCCTGCCCCCCTCCCCCCCTCCTCCTGCCCCCCCCCTCCCCCCCGCCCACCGGCCCTCCGCCCCCCCCCCCCCCCGTCCTCCCTCCCCCACTCCCTCCCTCCTCCCTCCTTCGCTCCCTCCCTCCCTCGCTTCTCCCTCCCGCCCTCCCCTCCCGCGCCCTCGTTTCGTGCGCAGAGGGCATCTACACACCACCACCGTGCCAAGGCAGGGCTATCCTCGGCCTCAGGATGGTGTACACGCCCTCCTGGCCGACGCCAGGAGGGTGTGGTCTATACACCATCCTGGGGCCCAGGATGGCCCTGCCTTGACACGGTGGTGGTGTGTAGATGCCTTCGTCGGTTTTCGGGGAGACGTAAGACTCGGGCTAGGGAGATTCGGGTTGGCCCGACTGGGCCATCATGAACGTGGCGCGACCCAGTCCAAAATTTGACGCGAACTCCCGCTGCAAACATCCTGCGACAACTGGACCGTCAAAATCCAGGACGCGCTAGTCAAACAGCGTCGGCAAACCCGACTTCCAGCGTACTCGAGTCTGACGTTTCCCCCATCAGTTCGGGCATCAAGGACAGCCTCGCTGATGAGGCACAAGGAACAATTCACAGCCGCGGCCACGGTGATGATCTCGACCTCCTGAGGGCGCGGGCAACCAGAACTTCCACCGGCACCAACAATGCACGCCGCTTCTAGACCCAACATGATACGCAGGATGCGCAGAACAAGTGAGGCTGCAACGCACCTCGAAGTTTGAGTGCTCCAGGGCAGAGGAAGCATGCCTGAACTAGGCACGATTTGACTCAGGTGGGAGTGATTGCCATGACCTGCAAACAACACAATGCGAGGTCACCTGGATCATCTTGAACTGAAGCAGTCCTCACGAACGTCGCAGCCCGCTGCAAGACAAATAAGATGTTTTCCCCGGCGGCCCCGAGGCGGTCCGAGCTCTGGCGCACATCGCTGTCAGTGCGGCGCTGGCGGGAAGCAGGCCTCGGAGGCGGCGCTATACACCACCACCGTCGCTGGCCAAGGTCGCGCTGGGCCCTGGCATTGTGCATATGCAGCTTCCCCTGCGCACCATGAGTACAGTGGTGGTATGTCCTGCAGCCGCCTTCTCTGGTGGGCTTGTTTTCCACCGCCACCACCATAAGTAGGCGGGGGAGGGGGTCCTCCTCCTCCTCCTCCTCCTCCTCCTCCTCCTCCTCCTCCTCCTCTTCCTCCTCCTCCTCCTCCTCCTCCTCCCTCCTCCTCCTCCGCCACCACATCCTCCACCTCCTTCCCCCTCCAACTTATGGTGGTGGTGGTGGCAACCAGGCCCATCATTGTCTAGAGGGGAGCACCCCTTGAACACGTCTGTCAGCTCAGCGCCCGCGCGGCCGAGCCCGCGCAGACCGCCGCGAAGCGCTCCGGCTGCGAGCACACCTCCGACGCCGCCCGCTGCAGGTCGCAGCGGAAGGCGTCCACTGTCCTCAGCAGGCGCTCCGCGGCGCCCGCGTCGATGCCGTCGCCAGGCGCTGGCTCCTGGGGCTCGGCGAAGAAGGTCAGGGCCGCTCTCAGCTCCGCCTTTGCCTCGCCCCAGGTGCTCTGTAGCTCCGCGACGCGTGGGGCGAGCTCCTCCTCCCGCATCCGCACGAGCCGCCTGCGGGCCTCCGTCGTGTAGCCTCCGTCGCCTGGGCCCCCATGCCTCTCGGACTCGTTCTTGAGCCACTCGGCCTCGGAGGCGAAGTCGGCCACCGCCTGCCCCAGCTCGCCCACGTCCTCTCGAGAGGCCTCGCGCAGGCCCTGGAGCTCTCGCCCCAGCTGTCCCCCGAGGGCCCCTGCGGCCTCTGCGTCTCCGCCCGCCGCCGCGAGCACAGCAACGTGGAGCAGCGAGACGGAGCGGTCCCCGCGCAGCGCGCGGAAGTATCTCAGCTTGCCCAGGGCGGACGACAGGGCAAAGCCGCCCTGCGCCCCAGGGTCCGAGGAGTTGATCCAGCTGCCCAGCCTGGCAACGGCCCGCAGCAGTCGCCTCAGCGCGTCAGAACCACGCAGCGCCCTGGCCACCTCCGCAAGCCTGCCTGCGCGCGCCCGCAGATAGGCCTGCATCGAGGGGGCCTGCATCGCAAGCTGAAGCACCCTCAGTCGGACGTCCGCGCGCGGGACGCGCACCAGCGGCATCAGCAGCCTCTCGACTCGGCGCAGGCGGGCCTCGAGGACACCCTCCAGGCCCTCCAGCTCCGCTGCCTCCTCGGCGGTTGGCAGCGCAGTGCCGAGCAGCTCCAGGCTTTCGGCGTCCTGCGGTGGCACGGATGACCCGTCCGCCAGGGACAGCTGCTCCAGGCCCCGCGCGAGCTGCTCCACGTCTGCCACGGTGGCCGAAGGCCCCAACACCCGGTGCATTACGATGTACACATGCTGCGCCCGCGAGGCGGAAAGCACGCGCACCTCGTTGTCGCCACCGCTGGGCCGGGAGACGTCCTCCATCTGCGGGTCCGAGAACAAGCGCTCCACGGCAGCCAGGTTCAGGGCCCTCTCTGGCGCCCCGGCAGCCGCAACCGTCGCGTCGCGCTCGAACACTGTGCCCCGCAGGCGATCCGCGGACAAGCCCTGCCAGTGAAACCGGCGGCCGAGCGGAGTCCTGCCCCGCTTGCCGCCCTTGGCGCCGCGGGGAGCAGGCGGTGGGCTCCTGCCGCCCTTGCCAGGCCCCCTGCCAGGCCCGCGGCCAGGCCCCTTGCCGCCGCCAGCGCTGGCAGGCTCCATGGCCATGGCCGCTGGCCCGGCGGCGTCCAGCCTCTGGGCCTGCAGGCCCTCGGGGAGGCGGGAGTCCGCGCTCTGCCGGCAGGGCGAAGGCGCCCGCGCCGCTGGGGCTGCGGCGCCAGAGCTGCTGGCGCCGTCGGCCTGCGGGTGGTCTGGCCGTGCGCCGGCGCTCAGCTGGCGAGGCGAGGATCCTCGCGTGGCCACTGCGGCGGCGCTGGTCCCGCTGGCGCCGTCGGCCCCGCCACCATCGCCAGGGCCAACGCCCCAGGCCCTGGCTGCGGCGCCGGCGGCGGCGTCCTCGTGGGCCACGCCAGCAGCCGCCCCAAGCAGAAGCGAGAGGCTCTCGCAGCAGAAGGCCGTGGTGTCGGGGTGGCCGCCCTGCGCCGCCCACAGCGCAGAGGCGACCCGCGCCTGCTGCCTGTTCAGGCGGCCCAGCTGGGCGCCCGCGCGCTCCGCCGCGGCGGCGTCGCCCTCCGCCGAGGCCCGGTCCCTTTCGAACCGGCACTGCTCGGCGAGCCCGCGGAGATCGACCACTGTCCGCTCCATGGCCTCGATCCACTCGCGGTGCTCTTCCTCGCGGCTGCTGCCGGCCGACGGCGCGGGAGCCACCAGCAGCGTCGGGACCGCCGAGGGCCCAGCGGCGCCGCAGCCCAACGACGGAGCTGCAGCACAGCGCGCGTGGCCCAGCAGGGCGCTGCGCGCGCGCTTCTGGAAGAAGGCTGCCCCGCTCTTCACGACAAAGCCCCCGTACCCGTGCTCGAGGCACACCCTCTTGCAGAGGCGGAGGTCCGTGCAAGGCATGGACTCGATGTCGCCCGGGCTCCAGTCGACAGGCAACGCCAGGGGTGCAACATCGGAATCGGGAAACACAGCCCAGCCTGGGTAAACCAAAATATACAAATACCTATACGACCACCCTGCGGGTGATAAGGAGGTTGGGAGGGGGAGGGTGGCCAGCAATGGGCAACAGTGGTGATCCCGATCGATATCACTATCGATATCACTATCGATACCAGAACGTGAAACCACGGGACACCGACGGGACACCGATGGGACACCGACGAGACACAATCGATCTCACTATCGATCCCACTATCGATCTCGATATCGATCTCACTATCGATCTCGCTATCGATCTCACTATCGATCTCGTTTTCGATCTCACTGTTCATCTCACTATCGACTCAACTATAGATCTCGCTATCGATCCCACTCAATCGATCTCACTATCAATCTCACTATTGATCGCACTACCGATACCACGATCGATCTCACTATAGATCTCACGATCAATCTCTCACTATAGATCTCACTATCGATCTCACTATCGGTCTCATGATCGATCTCACTGTCGATCTCACTATCGATGTCACTGTCGATCTCACCACGGGACACCCCGGGAAAACGACGGGACACCGGCGGGACACCAGCGGGACATCAGCGGGACACCGGCAGGACACCGCGCGCCACCAGTTGTCGGGCGGAGAACCTGTTGGTCCGGCCGCGGCCCAGCCACGAAGGGACACCGGCGGGACACCAGCGGGACACCAGCGGGACATCAGCGGGACACCGGCGGATCACTGCGCGCCACCGGTTGCTGGGCGGAGAACCTTTTGGTCCAGAAGCGGCCCAGCCACAGGAGAATTTCCTCTCCCCCGCTCACGCAGCTTCGCCTCGCCGACACGCACGGCACGAACACGAAACCGAAATCGATTTCCCGTTAGGGGGGCTCTCCGTTCCACTTCGATCTCACCCCCCAACCTCCGACCGCTACTCCCAGAGCACTCCTTCGATACGTTACGACAAACATGTCGACCATAATCCAGCAGCGGCGACGAACGCCTCCCATGAAATCCGACTATTTTGCTTCGAACAATTTCCACAGAAACATTGAGCATTTGTTAGTGAGTCTTGTAGGATTTTAGAGTGCGGACAGCCTGGTTCGGCGAGCATGTCGCGCTTGACAAGGCGCCATTTTTCGGTCGCTGCTGCATTCTACTCTATCGCGCTCTGTTATGTTCCCTTATGTTCTGTTCTGTTGCATGCGCGTACGATGTGATATGGTTTGCTCTGGATGGGACGGCGTGACGTCTAATCGGTCGTTGCTGCGCCAATGTTTGTCCTTTGGCCAGCCTTACCTCGGCGTCGCCGCGGCGCGCGACAGGGCGCAATTAATCAGTCGCTGTAGTATTTTAGCGTACTCATCGATCGTAGATTCTATCATGTTCTAATATGGTATACGGTATTATGCGCTGTTTCTTCCTCGACGGGCCAGCGTGACGTCGTGACGGGGTCACGTTAGATGCGCCGTACACCCGATCATTGCTGCGCCTGCTTGTTTCTGTGGCCAGCCTGACCTCGGCAAGCAAGTCACGTTTGATTGCATGGTGGTGCGATCGATTATATTACGATGGTCCTCTTCAGAGGTGATCCGCTCAACTTTGTTTAATACTATTGTGTTATGAACATCTCTATCATATGATGAACTGTTGTTTGGTGGTTGCGGACCCGTTCTTAAGATATGACTTGGCCTGTTGTGATACATATGCGCTTCAGTATCTCCGTTAGTTTACAGCATTGCAGCATCGCCGGTGGTGTGATAGCATGTTCGTTGCCGCAATGGTAACAAACAACGAACACGATGGTACGGTGTATTGTTTCAGATGTGCCCTGTTTGTTGTATTATGATATGCTGTGTGATGATTCTATGTTCAGAATGTGTCAACATATGATGTCCGATTGCAATCGTTGCCGTCGTGGTAGCAAGCGTACGGCGATTATGGTGTGTCCTGTTCGGACCTGACCTGGTAACTCGATATGTTCCGCCCTGTCATGCTCTTTTTTTCCATGCCATGGCGTGATTAGTAATGTGAACGCCATGCCATGCCGTGTAAACGTTAGTATGATTTGACAGATTGTAAGATGTCATGCTGTCGGCTGTAGTTAAGGTCGCGGTATGCTAAGGTGTGTGCTAGGGTATGTCTCTTGGCACGCGGTATGTCTCTTGGCACACGGTGTGTCTCTTGGCACACGTGGTAAGTGTTATGATATAGTATGGTCTGCCATGTCGTGTTGTGAGATGCTCTGTTATGGTACGCTATGTGATGTTATGCTATGGTATGAATGCATCACTGTGCCATGTACTGTGCTTGGATGCTCTGGTATACCCTGCATTGTGATTATTTGGTATGCCATTCTATGATGTCATGAACAATTTGTCTATCATGCTCGGCTCTGTCATGCTATTGTCTATTATGTTCTGTGCTGTGAATTCTGTTCTCGCATGCTAACAGAGGCGGGAGTCTCGGGGATTCTCGGTGGACCTGGGGATCTGGCGGCCGCGGTGTGGGTGGGCGAAATCTATCGTAGGGACGGGCGGTGAGGACGCCAGGGCCTTGGACGCCAAAGCTGGCACTGCTCGAGGGATGGACTGCCAACACCCAGGGGGGGCTGGCCGGTGACGACCGCGAGGGCAGGGACGCAGCGGGTACCCTGCGGACCTCCGCGCGCCCCTGCGATGGGCCTTCTGGCTGCAGCACCTTCCCTCCCCTGCCAGCCGTCATCGTCCACGAAGTCGGGCCCGCAGCCGCCGCCCTCCTCCCCGCAGCCCTCCGCCGCCTCCGCGCCATCTCCCCGGAGCCTCCTCCACAGGCCCCTCGCCGAGGCGCCCAGGCCCGCCGCGCCCCCGAGCAGGCCCCCCCGCACGGCCTCCCCCGCCGGCAGGCTCGAGCGCAGGCCGTCCTTGAGTTATGTCGGGCGTGTCCCCCATACGGGGGGATTTCCGACGAAAAATAAAGAATACCCCAGAAATAATCAAAACAAAAAAAAAACTGGGGGCTATTTGTTGGATATGTTTCAGCCCTTCTGGTGCATTGTTGGTGTATTTTTCATTTTTCGCCCAAAATTCCCCCTGTAGGGGGACACGCCCGACTTAATCCTTGAGCGACCTCGCCCGCTCCAGCAGGGCAGAGCCCCTGCTGCCGGAGGGAAGGAGAGCGGGGACCACGACCAGGGCATGGACGCGAGTCGATGCCGACCTCTTGTTGAGCAGGGGCCGACTGTCCCGGCATTCCTATAGTCCTACCACGAAGTGTTCTTAGAACCCAAAAATGTTCGAATCACAAAAACAAAGTTCTTAGAACATAGCCCGATGTGAAAAAAACAAGACAGTCCCATTCAAACATGACCTAAGAACGTGGGAACCGCAAAAGGTTCTTAGAACATTGTTTGGTGGGACTATAGGCGAGCCAGGACGCTTCGCCACTGCTTGATGTTGGTCATCGGCCACCTCGGCTGGCGCCCTTTCGTGGACCGCCCTCGCGCCTCGGCGACGGCCCGCGGCGACCATGCCCGAGACCGGCATCGACAGCGCCCCGCCACGCCTTGGTCGAGGCCACCGCGCTGCGTCCCTCGATGCTGCTGCTGTGCAGGAAGGACGCGTGGGCGTGCTCCGCAGGCCCCCCGTCGAGGTCGTCCAACTCCTCGGCGTCCTCGGGCTCGACGAAAGACAGGTGGCCCTGGCCCTGCTCGGCGTCCTCGGGCTCGACGAAAGACAGGCGGCCCTGGCCCTGCTCGACGGCGGCCGGCCTGCAGGTGCACTCGTGCCACCAGCCGAGGGGCGAGCTTGGCGCGGCGGCCGCAGCGCTGCTGAGCGCTCGAGACAAGCTCATGCCCGCAGGCAGCCGGGAGAGGCCCTGGATTCGGAGGCGACTCCTGGGAGGTCTTAGCAAGAACGATCATGAAAAAGTGAATTGTTGGGTCCCAACACCGTGTGGTGACAGACCCACCGGTGACCTCGAAATCCACAAAGACCTCAGCGCAGGGTCCGTCACCACATGGATTTGGGACCGCGGAGGCCCCAGTCGTCGGAGACATCCTCGAAGAACGACCCAGGTCCCCCAACCGTGCGGTGACCCCGAATCCCCGCCGACTCACCACACGGTGTGGTCACCACCACGTTTGGGGGCCCCCGATAGATAGCCCCGATGCCGGGACCATGAAGCCGGGGTCTGTGAGCGGGAACAGGCGGGACATAGCGGGAGTCAGCCGAACAAACCGGATCTATGCCGCATGCCCCATGGGGGGCAGTTCTGGGGGGAACAAACAATGACATAGACATACAAACTCGGAGGTCCGAGCGGATTTCTCGGATCGGCGCTGGAACCCCCTAGCGGCGCCTCCGGCACCGCCCCTGGCGCGCTTCGCGCGCCAGGGAGGGGCCTACAACGCCGATCCGAGAAATCCGCGCGGACCTCCGAGTTTTGATGCTTATGTCAAGTGCTCGCTCCCCGAAATCTTCGACAGCGGAAACCTCCCAGGACTTGCATCCTGAAGTATCGGCGCGCCCCTCAGCCTCGCAGCGCAAGGCCCCCCAGCAGGCGGGGCTCGGAGACGGGCTTTGCGACTGCGTTCGCGACCGCGCGAATCAGTCGCTGGCGCGGCCACGGTGCGCGCTGCGCGCTCTGTGCTTCGGCCAGAAGGGCTACGGACACTCGCACACATTGGAAGGGACTTCTCAAGCGTTCCTCAGGCCTGCGCAGTGTCCATCAGAGCAAAAACGCAGCTGAGCACAGGAGGGCGTGCAGGCAGCTACGGAGCTCGGACATACAGACGCAATATGCGGACGACGCTGCAAAGCCCCAGGAGAGCAGAACATGGACAGCGCAAGCACCAAATCTGCGCGCTGCGCCCTCTGTGCTTCGGCAAGGAGGGCCGCGGACTCTCGCTGCTGCGCGCGCGACCCCAAGCCATGCCGACTGCAGGGCTCCACGTCGTATCCTTGCGAATGGCATTGCCCCGCAGTGTTCTCAAGCACGCCGCGGCCACTCAAGACCTATGACTGGCAAATTGTTTCTTGGTTCTCCCTCCCGCCGCACGCCGTTACGACGGATTTCTGATTTTTGGGAGGGCGGCGAGGAAACAGGTGAGAGGAGGAGGAACACGCCTGGCAACTGGCAACTTCTTCACCGCCCGGCTCAAGAAGCAGATCCTGGCCGCAACCCTGAAGGCGGGAGAGAACGGTTGCAACTCGATATTGCTGTATACCTGACCCACACATGCGACGTAAACTCAAGATGCCCCCATGATTCACCACTGTATAGCAGTAGCGCTATTCTGCGGCAAGGCTGGTATCAACCACGTTCGGCAACATGTTCGGTCGATGTAGCCATGCGCAGAATGAGCGGCGCTACCGAGGAACCCCACACAATTATTCAATTCCTGATGTTGCCATCCAGCGTTTCGCGAACTTAACAATCCTTCCCGTGAGCCAGTTGAGCTGGCGCGCGTTCGAAGAGCGTCTTGAACCAGCGTATATGCGCCCAGCTTCATTGGAGAGGAGGAGGAGGAGGAGGAGGAGTAAGACGGTGATCAAGAAGAGACGTGAGCAGAAGGGGCGGGGGAAGGAGGAAATGTTGGATGGTTCCCCTTCCTCTCCTGTGAGATTGATTTCTGCTCCGCGTTTTTCAAGACATGACGCAGCGGCGTACGGCTCTTCGACGGAATGTCGCCGAGCTGCGCGCGCAGAAAAATGGAAGGCCCAGAAAAATTGTGGGAGTGCCCTTCGATGGGCGCACCCGCACACGGAGAGAGAGGGGGGGACGACGGCAAGCCGTCAGCGCAGCTTCGGCGAGTGCGCGAGGCTGGCAGCGCGGGCGCCCACCCAGAGCTTCCGAGTGCAACGCTTGCTGCGCCCGCGAAGGCCACGCCAACAAAGGCACCGCCCATGCAGGCTTGCACCCCGCAGCCATCTTCAACTGTTCTGCTGGCTACCTCCGTTCGGCCTGCTCGCGCCCCTCGCATTCAGGTGGCCCTTGTGCCCGCCGAGGCGGACTTGTGCTGGTCACGGGGCCTTTGACCCCAGGAGCTGCGAGAGACGATCATCCTTAGGCGCCTGTTCTGTCAGACGGACTCGAACACGCCCATCTGGCAGAAACCATTCGCAAACGAAATGGCTTCTCATCCACCACACCGACCGCTGACAGGGCTGCGAACACGCCGGCCCGTGGCCAGCTCCCACCAGATGCGCCAATGGACTGCCAGAGGGCGCGGCCCCTCTGACAACCACTCGCCTGCTCGCCCTGCAGCCTGACATGCTGGGCGGAGGCCCGCGCGCAGTTCTACGAACAGGTGGGCGAGGTCGCCCCGTGGCGGCGGGCCCTTACAAGACAACCGCTGCGCATCCAGGGCGCCCACGCCCTGCTGAGCGTGGGGCGCGCAGCGGCCGCGAGGGCCAACGGCTGCGAGGCTGGCGGCGCTGCGCACTCCAACGCGGGCTCCGCGTTCCGCGCCGACCTCGCCGCCAATCTGAAGCATTGCGCCTTTCATCGTCCAGCACTGGGCTGGCAGCGGGTGAATGGCTTTTTGGGCTCCGCGTTCCACGCCGACCTCGCCGCAGATCTGAAGCACTGCGTCTTTGATCGCCCAGCACTGGGCTGGCAGCGGGTGAGTGGCTATGTTGGGCGACAGGACTGCTGCCGTCGTTCGGTCCGAGCCAATCTGTACACTTAGGTCGGGCATGTCCTCCGACAGGCGGATTTTAAAACAAAAAACAGCAATACTCAAAACATGCTCCCAAATAGTCAAAAGCAATACAAACATCGTCCCCGTATTATTTGTTCAACTATATTTGAATTTTCCTCCTCTAGAGGGAAGTGCCCGACTTAAGTTTATACAGCTCTGAATGGGCCGAAGCACTCGCCTGGGCGACAGCACTGCTTCCCCCCTTGCTGGCGCTTGCCCTTTTTTGCGACCCTGGCGTGGATCGCGACCTCCCCACCCCCAACACGCCCCGCGAGCCTGCACACGTGGCAGCCACCCCCAGCGCCTCCCGGTGGCGTCGGTCATCGCCACGCCTGCCACGCCTAGCGAGCCTGCAGCGCATGCGGCGGCCACACCTGGCGCGACCCCCGACCTGCGAGAACAGGTGAGCGTTTATGTATTCTGGGTTTCGTCATTTGGCGCAAGGGGGGGAGGGGGGGGGGTCCGGCTCTCGTCCCGTAGTCAATACCTCCGATTGAATCATCTTGAAATTTTCAACATAGCTTAAAATTCAATATTTGAGCCTCATGAGGCGTGAAACTGGTAAACAAACTCATTCTAACAATTACAATACAACGCAAAGAGGGGAATCGCGCAGAGGCTGCGCGGGGCTGCGCCAAGGCTATGCGTGATTGTGCGGGGCTGTGCCAGGATTACTATGGATCACATATTCATGATTCCACAAGGCCGTCGGTGGCATAACAGGGGAGGGCCCAACCGGAGGCATGCTTTTTGGCGATCGGGTCCAACGCCTCTGAGCCCTTTCGTTATGGTTCCAGAAGAATAGCAGGAAAAAGTTCGCACAGTTGCACACATCAGCGATTCGAGTTTCTACGGGGGGGGGGGGGGGCGCCGGCCCCCGTAGTTCGTCCGATCGACTGAAGCAGGTGCCAAAATCAGCCCATAACTTCTCTACGGGGGGGGGGGGGGGGGGGGGGTTCCGCCGAAAGCAAAAAAAAATAATAAAAGAACGATCACCAGGCACCGCGCGGAGGCTCAGGCCGCCCACAACGAGGTGCCGGGGGTGCTGCCCGCGGAGGGCAGCAGCCCGCGGGATCGGCTCACGGGCGCCCTGATGCCGCAGCGAGGCCTTCAGGATGGCCCTCCATCAAAGAAGAAGAAAATAAGTAATAAGCGTAGTACCAGTGCTAATAAACAACTTTTACGACTACTAATACTTTTACGAATACGAATGCGAATACTCACACGAATCATACGAGTCATAGGCACAACCACTACGACCAATACTACGAATAATGCTCATAATTCCAACCTGATGGGACGAAGAAGAAGAAGAAGAAAAACCATACACATCTCCGTGGTTTCATCGGTGTCCGCCTATGGTCGCAGGTACTGCGCCCCGAGGCCATGGAACGTGGATCTGCGACAGAGGAAACTGCCCCTGGGGACGGCGTCGGGACCTCTGGGGCAGCGCGGACTCCTTGGATTCGCGCCGGGCCCCCCCTGGCCATCGCTCGGACGTCCATTCCCTGTGTTTTTGTTCGGTGTCGTGCGTGGTTTCTTCGCCTGATGATCAAGGATGCTCCTCGATGGCCCTCGCCGACGGAAACCTGCACACGTCCGAGCGATGCCAAGCCCCCGGCGGGGCCTCCAGCGCCGCCCCCTTGGCGACTCGACCTCGCGCGGGGGGGACCTCGATCTCCGACGCTCTCTCGGCGCTCCCTCCTTCTCTCCTTCGGCCCCGCCGCGCAGGCGCACCGCTGGGGTGGCCCAGCGCCGTGGAGAGCCCTGTGGATGGGCCCTTTTCCACGTCCACTGCCACAGGTTGGCGGGGGAGGGAAGGAGGTGGAGAGGAAGGAGGAAGAGCAGGAGGGGGAGGAGGAGCAGGAGGAGGAGGAGAGGAGGAAGGAGGAAGCGGGAGGGGGAGGAGGAGGAGGAGGAGGAAGAGGAGGAGAGGAGGAAGGAGGAAGAGGGAGGAGGAGGAGGAGGAGGAGGAGGAGGAGGAAGAGGAGGAGGAGGAGGAGGAGGAGGAGGAGGAGGAGGAGGGAGGAGGGAGGAGGACCCCCCCTTACTTATGGTAGTGGCCATGGAGAGCAAGCCCATGACTTGTGTCGCTGGGCGGTGCAGGGCCTGCCCTCTTGACCTTCGCCGCTGGAAGGCCCAGCCCTTT